AGTCTTTCAACTTGTGTAAAACCAACAGTCAGAGGTTACATTACGTTGTAGAATTACAGTAGACTATCACCGTGTGAATTCGAAAATCGAGAGAGTAATCTCTGTGATCGCAAATCATCGCAGTCTCGAATCGGATCGAGCCAATCTTGATATAATTTCCAAAGTATTTAAAATAATATTCGCAGGTCTACCGAGCAAACTTTTACCAAGTGTTGCGAGAGACGAGAATTGGAGAGCAGTTTTCTTATTTATATCCAAATTTTAAATTGGTAAATTGTCATGTAGTTGTAAATGTAGTTTCAGAGGAAATATATATCTTACATTGTGGAAAATTTCAAGTCACATCTTAATCTTGAATGAGAAGTAGAAAATGTTTTAGATGACTGATTGAAATAATATTCGCTTTCAATACGTCATCAACCTCGAACCTCGGTTATTTCTAACGAATGTTAAACTGAAGAACTAAAGAATTCCAATGTTCGCTGACATTCGGTTAAACAGCAATTGCAAAATACGCCAATTACAAATCGTACAATGCCTTTGACCCACGATTGCCCCACGACGAGATCGAATTGTTGTAATTTTCAATAAATCTGAAATTTATTGGGGACGATCGGTCAGCCCCCCTGTCTTCAACGATAGAAACGCGAATCCGATGGTTAGACTAACCTGTAGTAAGGGAATCCCTGATGAACGTGAAGGTCCATGGGCATGGCAGGGTGAGTAGGGCCATGGTGTGCCGGCGCGGGGGTGTACTCACCGGCCGCGGACAGAGGTGGTTGCATCATGCTCGCCGCAGCGGCCGCATGGTGGCCGGCGAGCATCGCCCCCCAATGGAAACCCGGGGCACCGGGCATCGCCGACGGATGTTCCAGTTCGAGGCCGCGGTGACTCGTCGAAGGTAACGCGCTACTTCCGGCTGATCCTCCGGCGATACCAGCGGCTCCTCCAGCAGCACCGCTTCCGGCGACACCGCCGCCGCGGTGCATTAGCCAGCCCTCCACCACGAACGTCGATCTTGTCCGTCTCGTTGAAACACAGCCTCGTTGGATCACACCCGACTTAATAAATAAATAATGTTACCTCGTCACGCAGAAAACACACAAACCCACCAGAGAAATAAAACTCTCTCTCTCTCTCTCTCTCTCT